ATGAGTAAATAGTGGCAAATATGTAAAAAGCCAAAAGTTATAAAAGACCTTTGGTTTTGCTCTTGTAAACAACAACCTTCGGGTTTAGAACATTAAATATATATATAATAAATAAAATTGATCTTTAAAAACATAAAATACTTCAAAAATCTGCTCTTTATTAATTTACCCTTAAAGTTACATTGTTAAATAAATCATTTGCATAAATTATTGCTTTCCCTTGTTTAATAAAATCTCCAATCCAATAAACCCGTGATTCACGTGACCCACACCAGTAGAACCCTTGTATCCTCAAACCCGGCCCTCGTTAATTAAATAACCCCTTGCATAATCAAAGAAATAAGTTGGTAATTTGTCTCAGGAACGATTTAGAGAAAGCTATAAGATAAGAAGGGACTTATCTTACTCGACCAAATCGTACGCCTCAGCTGAGAGAGCCTTAACTGCTTAGATATTTCTTTACATTACGCAAGAAACTTGATTCCGGACTGACAGAGTCGGATCATTTTGTTGTTGTTTGTTGGTTGATATTTCCACTGGTAATACTAGATTTAAGGGGTTAAATCCGAATTCAGGTATTAACTCTATGTAGGACTTTTATCAGAACCTTTCAAGATCAGAAAAGGAGTCTGACAGAGTAATCCTTTATCACTCCTGTTATACATTTAAATTTTTGAAACCTTTCTGCACAGTCTAAACAAGAATTTACGAGGAATCCAAATCAATAGTCAAAGCTTTAAAATAGCTTCCTATGCTGACAACCTGATAGTTGAACTGGGGTCACTTTTAGATTAAGCTACATTCACTGAATTAGTCAAAAAAATATGAAAAAGCCTCAAATGCAAAGATAAATTGTTAAAAATCAATTCTGGTACCTCTCACTAATAATGCTAAATGTACAGAGCTTTTAGATGATTAACACTTTAAAAAATTAGGAGAAATAGAAAATATAAAAGTTCTGGAATACACTATTAACGCTAAAGGACAAATAGACAAAAATACATGGATGATTTTATACCAAAAAATACAAAAAACAATTGATAAAATGTCCACAAGAAATCTTTCCCTTAGCAGAAAAATTTTAATAGCAAAAGCTCTACTGTTGTCACGTATCTGGTATACAGCCTATATTTTGCCACCAAACAAGAAACAAATTAAGAGATTAAATGACATCATAACTCAATGAATAAAGTGCAAATCTAAAACACTTCCTAGAATGTCAATATTTCAGCAAGAATATGAGCTCGGGGAGCTCAAAGCCCCTATTTTAGAACACATGTTATAGGCCAGATTAACAACGATCTGATTAAAACTAATGTCTGCTAATAATCTGTGGGCAAAAATAGAGAGATCGTTAATTTCGAAGAGTCAATACAGTAAATGCAATATTATTATTAAGGATGCACTAAACAGTACACAGTTTAGGTTAAAAGGCTGGCCTGAAAACTGAAAAGTCTATGCTAAAGCCTGGAATAAATTGGAAGGAAAAGTAAAGATGAACTCAGAAAACTGGCTTTGGTCTTTAGCGGGCATAAGCATTACTGGAGTAGAGGGTGACCAATATTCGGTTAAAAAAACAACAGAGTTTCTGAGGAAAAAATACATAAAACCAGCAATCTCTCTCTCAGTTCAAGATGAAAACAGTTTGGCGGAAGATCTATGGGTACAATCTGGTATGTGGTGGGTCAAAAACAAAAAAAAAAACATTTTCTCGCGTTTATCACACAGGGCCCTACCTCTAGGATATCGACTAATTTATATGTTTAATACCAAAAATGGAGATTGTCCACACTGTCAAGGGATATTGCAGACAATAGAACACTTTACAACAGAATGTAATCTGAGTCGACAAATCTGGAACATTATATACTCTAGCATACCCGCCTTGGAAAATATATCACCCCCAAGCTCTTCTAAGAAAATACTGCAACCTAATAGCAGGATGGAAAAGGATATGAGACCCGCGGTTAGATGGTTACATGTTTTTGGTGTCTACGAAATATGGTTATACTATACACAAGCCAAGTGGGGTCTTTCTCCAGTACCAGAACCTGCTATACCATTTATTACCAAAAATCGTCTAAAAAAAGCCATTTACAGTCTACAAAATGGTCGCAATAATAACAAGGAGAAAAATAATTTACTTAAATTTATCAAAACATAGAATGTAGTCCTATATAATGTATATTTGGCAATATTGATAATAAAGTACGCCTACTCGGCGTCCCATGGTAATAATACTGAAAAAAAAAAAAAACTAATAATTCATTTTTTTAGCGTGTTATATCACTTCTAACTATTATACTTAATAAAATACTTTGTGAATTTTTCAAGTTTTCCGATTTAGCAATATTTATGGAATATCTTTTAATAGGTAGGTATCATAAACCCCTTATTTCATAAACAGTTTATGATCTTATTATTGTCATTTATATGATACCCAGATTTTTTTAACGTATTGTATGTATTTTCCATTCTCTAAAATATTTAATTTTTAAGTTATTTTGAGTTAATTCGGAGTTGATTCCGAATTCACAGATATTCTGAATCTATTTACAACATATATAGAAATCTATTTTTAAATTATAAATTAATGATTTACTATGAAAATACTTGGGATATAATAATAATAAATTCGTGACTTATTAATTATCAGGAATATTAAGAACAATGTTTTTAGAAGTTGCATAATCTAATATGTTTAATTTTACGATAAACAAAAATCATTCAACATAATTTAAATTACCTTTAATAGCAATTGATATTCTTTGCGTACTAATCATTTCAATAGTATACATTGTGTCCGGATGTTTTGGTGTGGTAATTGGTAATGTCTTGACTATTTTATCTGCTTCTAAAAATTCTTTAATTTCATCTGCATTATTAATCCATTCAGAAATTTTCAAATAGGCCGTTGTTGTGAATCAGAATCCATAAATTGCATTACAAAATCAATATAGCAATCAGGAGTTCCAGAAGAAAATTCAGGGCGTAATCCATTACAAATATTTACCACAATATCAATATCAAATTTAACCATCAAAAGGTTTTTGTCCTGTTGATATCTCTGACATTATAACTCCGAATCCATAAATATCTGCTACCGCTGTAAACTTTTTACCTAATAAAACCTCTGGTACGACATAAAGATGATTCCATAAATAATACCTTCTGAATTGTTTTTTTTAAACTGTTTGACAATCCTAAGTCTGATATATAAGATAGATCGTTATCTTTTAAAATATTACAACTGTGAAAGTCTGTATGAATATATCCTGTGGAATGAATTTGACATAAATCTGATAAAATATAAAGAAGTATATTTAATTTAGTCTTCAGATAAGATCTCTAAAGTTTATTTTTAAGAATTTATAAAGATTTCCACCGTCAACATATTGAAATACCATTAAGTATTCCTTCGTTTCTGTATTTTGTGTTAATCCATATAGTCAGTGGGGAACAACACAAGCGACAACGATTACCCCGAAACGATTATGGAGGCGGATTCAATTTGGTAAGACATGGCTTGTTTCGGGTACGTTGCGCAGGACAGCACTGGGCAAATTCGATATTAAAGAGGGACTTTGGATTTATTAAACTTTATTTATTATAGGGTAATGACGATCCTTGGGCCAAGGGGGGTCAATTGATACAAGACTAAAGAACAAAAGGAGGGCTTTTATAACTAATTCTATAGGGAAGTATACTGCGGGTTTACTCCTTTTTCCTTCCTTCCCTTTTACTAATGTTTCTCTTTTCATTGACTTCTTGTTCTTGTAGGTCCCGCCTATAGTACTGCGGCCGCGTAATCTAAAAATGTCTTTGCGACACCAAGACCTAACCGCGGAATCGTGAAGGTGGTTTCTTTCCCTTTTGCTTTTCCCGCGCTGTAATGGTTCTACTAATCCTTTATTCCATTTTTAGGTTAATTAGTACTTCAGGTTGTTGGGCATATTGCGGGCTTGGTTTATTCCGGGTTTTGGGGCTTTTTCTCTTGCATACAATGGGGGGAAATCGGGTTACACAATCGTAGGTTTTACAATTTGGGTCACGATCCAAATTGCGATTCCAGTCACGATTTCGGTCACGTTTTCGGAGATCGTTGCGCAACGGTTCCAACCGGTTTGTCTCTTACAATATACATTAAGCGAAATGCCATGTCTATTACATCTCACATGATTGTCAAATTTATAAATTTATATAAATAAATTAGTTTAATGTGTTTATAAACTATATAAAATTACAGTTTACTTCTTTCAAAAAATTCGAAGTGTACCGGATAAGGTCTTGAGCACAACGATGCTAGATGGTTTACGTGTTCTTGTATTATCAATATAAATTTCTCGTATACCATCCAGCCAAATTACAGAAAATACAGAACCAAATCCTTCTTCACCAATTTTTTAATATTATCTAGTCTATCAAATGGAACCCATTCAATCATTTCTCATATTGAAAAGTTTTAAGTTGAAACTCTTTTATGAAATAATCAATATCCTTATTTCTACTTGTCCATTCTTGAATTATTATGTCATGATAACATGTTGACACGATGCTTTCCACGTGTTATTTTCATTACAATGTGTACATTTTCCATAGTCAAATTTTATTTATATTATTTATATTTACATATTCAAATTCTAATGTAAAGGTTTATACTTACCGACTTAAATGATTATATAAATAATATTAGTTATTTAAATATTCTTTGAAGTTGAATAGGTTATTATAAAAACTTGCAGTATTATAAATGCTCCTTTGCAAATAAAATTAATTAAATATCATGAACTTGAATAGCTTATTATAAATGCAAGATGATAAATATCCTTTATATTTACTCACTAAATTAATGCAAATAATATGCAATTAAATATTTATGAACTTGAATAGGTTATTAAAATATATTAATTATAAATGTTCCATATACTCACAGACTAAAACGTCGAA